CTCTCTCTCTCTCTCTCTCTCTCGCATTTTTCTTCGGCATCGGTGATTCCAGACGACGAGGACGAGGACGAGGACGAGGACGACGCTCTACGAGTCCCGTGATGCTAATTAAAATTTCAGAAAATGGTGTCCGCGTTAATTAACCCCGGTCGCCCAAGGAATCCCTAATTAATTTCCCGCGCCTCGACTATTTCGGCGCTTACCCCAGACGCCGTCTTAATCTAAAGTCGAATGCTCCTTCCTTTTCATCTTCCCTCTCCACTTTTTTTTCGCGTTTACGTGTAATCGAGATATAAATTCTATATAATATAAAGTATATAATATATAATAAATATCTAATATAAATATAATATAAAATATATATAATAAAAAATTTTTACACCTCGCGTATATATATATATATCAATCGCGTGGAAAAATCGTAATTAAGTTCGATTCTTCTATCTCTCTCTCTCGACCGTTCGTCTTTTTCCCCCACGTTGGTTTTTCAACGCTGGTTCGGATTAAAATTGCGAGCGCGGTTGTTTCTCTCGTCCCTCGTCTCCTAGAGAGAGAAATAGAAGGAAGCTAAATGTTACGAGTCATTCAACGAGTTGTCGCCGGTCCTTTCGCCAACCATTCGCATTACGCGGATGAAATCTCTTTTGCGATAGCGCGCATTTCCTCGCCCGCTTCCTCCTCCACCCCCTCGCCTACTACCCATTAACCACGCTTGCCGCGCACCGCGTTCATTTTGTCGAGTTAACGGCGAAAAAAAACACGGCTAAACGCGGTTATCGTTACCCCATCGTTCAAAATTTTCATACGGATGATAATGTGTAAGGGATTAAAAATCTCTTTCTCTCTCTGTCTTTGTAAAGCTCGGATACGCGTATGGGGAGAGGGGAAAAAATATCGAAAGTATTTGTACCTGTAATTGGCTATCTTGATGACGGCGTTCAACGGTTCCTTTATGCGATAATAGACGACCGCGTCCACGCTCACCGTCACGGAATCCTTGGTGAGAACTTCTTGGGGAGGCACGTCGAACGAAACCGTCCTCAGATCGACGCGCACGCAGTTGTCCACGCATGGCATCACGAAAAACGTGCCTACGGAGTAGTAATAGATAAATAAAATATAAGAAAAGAGAAAAAAAAGAGAGAGCGAATCGAAAAAATCAAAAATAAGGAAGAATGTTGATTTCGAAGAGCAAGTTAATTTCGGTTTCGATCGATGGAAGTATCGTTCACTGGTGAAAAGAAGTTTCGTCTATCACTGCATACTGCATTATATTATAATTCGACATCGATCTAATCATCTTGATGAATCAAAATAATTAATAGTTTCGAAAATATTTCAATAGTGTGTTAACAAAGCTTCTGAAATGGAAAAGTAGGCGGTCCTAGCGAAGGATCCCTCTTGCCCCCTGTGCCTCCATCTTGACCATTCTTTTTAATAATAAACAGTACAGTTTTTTTTGTGTTTACTTATTCCGATTGTATCTTCTAAACTTCGATGCATTAATCCAGAATATCGATATAATATAAAAATTTTTTGATACTAATTTATTCGTACATGTTATAGAGAAATAAAAAAATTTTTATACTATATTGATACGTCAGAATACTCTGGGTTTCTATGCTACGCTTAATGCATTAAGGTTTAGATAGAGATCGTCTTGGATTAGTATATGTAATAAATGCCATGGTAGAAACAAAAATGTGTGTGAAAATAAACGTTTGCTTCAGTTCATGCTGTTTATTGGTGGAAAGAACTAATGCGAGACGGTGCAGGGGCAAGAGGGATCCGCCTATCCCCACTTTAGTCACCGCTTTAGACTGTTGACAATCCTGACATCGCACACTGCATACTAATAGAAGAACTACAATTCGAATATTCAAAATCGATAATCATACAAGACTGAAATTATTTTCTAAACTATTGATTATTTTGATGGTAGCTTATTTGTCTAGCTTATTCGTATATGTATTATTATTATCTTAACTATTTATACAAAATTATATTTATAAATTAAACTATCGTTACAAATCGTAATTAATCTATGTGTATATGAGAAATGAAAAAATTTTTATATTATATCGATATTCTGGATTAATGCATCGAAGTTTAGATACAAAATAATTGGAATAAGAAACAAAGAAAACTGTACTGTTCACGGTTGAAAAGAAGTTGAAGGGGCAAGATGAAGGGGCACAGGGGGCAAGAGGGATCCTTCGCTAGGACCGCCTACTTTCCCATTTCAGACGCTTTGTTGACATTACACTACTGAAATATTTTCTAAGCTATTAATTATCTTGATGGTATATCTAGCTTATTCGTATACGTACAATTATTATTTTAACTATTCGAATATGAAATTACATTTATAAATTAAACTATCGTAATTACAAATCGTTAATCTACACATATTATGAGAAATAAAAGAAATTTTTATATTATATTGATATGTTAGAATACTCTGAATTAGTATATGTGACAAATACCACGGTAGAAACAAAAAATAGGCGTTTCCTTTCAAATTAACCAATCAGATTCGCGTTTTCTTCCATTTGTTTCCACCGTGGTGAACATGTTACAGTTTACCTGGTCCATAAGCGGCGCCTTTCAGCCGTCCCATTCTGAACACGACGGCCCTCTCGTACTCTTGCACGACTTTGAAGGTGAAGCAGAGCGAGAAGGGCAACGTAACGAGCACTAGCAGGAACGAGCCTATAGTGGCCAACAACTCGACGAATCTAGTCGTAGCACCGATCTTCGTCTCGCCGCGTGCCACTGACGATTCCTCTGTTTCCTTCCCCGAGGGCAAAAAAAGGGAAGGCGATATGTACAAGGTGATGCAAGCGCGACACGCACGTGATGAAGGGATAATAATTCGCGAGGGATAAAGCGCAGGGGAAAAGAAGAAAAAAGGGTTTCGAGTTCTCCGCCGAGTAATGGAAACGATTTGTCACCGATTATACCGGTAGAGGATTTCCTTCCGTGTCCC